CCCCTGTCAGCCGTAGAGGGCGTTATAATGTGACGGTCAATCCCATTATTCGTTGGTAAAAGAGTAGCCCAAGAGTTGGCGGTGGATGGTAATGACTAGCTGCCTTCCCTCTAGTCTTACACTGCTAAATTAGGGACGGCTAGCGCAGATAGCCCTCGTGTAGCTTTGCGCGAAATTCAAAAACAAACATAATGTTTTTGTTTCTCATTTCCAATAACGAAAAACGGGAAAAAATAAAAAATTGTGTGAAAATGATATCCAGGCCTTAGTATGTGTTTAATCATTGCCATATTTTAAGTAACTGAAAGTGTTTTTCTTTCTTTTTTTAAGTCACAATGATGAAAGAACTGTAAGCATCAGATTGCACTTATGAACATTTTATGCACAACCAAATATCCCTGGTCTACGGTATGCAAGTTGTTAACAAGCCAAACTTTCATGTGTGTACACAAACCCATATTAACCGTTAAATTAATCTCTATGTTGTTATAATTTTTATATCCAGTCTGTTACCAAGGTGAGGTCAACAATACATGGATTAAATTAAATTAATTACGTGAATTTCTTTTCGTAGTATCAAAGCTCACGGTGCAAAGGTTTTTAGACTCGTCAGTCCATCTTTGGCTAGAGTGGAACACATACACTTTTTAATCAGTTACAACTTGCTAAATCATCGCTTCCCTTCTTGTAACGATGAGTGAGATCGTGCAGAAAATGTTAGTTATTACATAGCAGTTTCGAAAGGCTACCGAAATGAGATTATGTCAATATTTTTTTATTAACGCTTAAAATGTACGGTATTGAATGCCTAGACTTTTTTTTTTTTTGCCTTCTCAGGGGCCCTGGGAAAATTTCTCCGACCTCCCTGTGAGCATGCACATGGCATAACTTGGCTTCATATTATGTAAGAATTCGGAGAGATGCGAGTTATTTAGTATATTCCAGGTTAAACTTGCCAAAGAGCTCTGTTGACTGAAAAAGATATGTTACACCTGTAATGTACATCATCTGTGTTTTGTCCTTTCTTGGTGGCACTGTAATTTGTTTTGATATTCAATTTCGTGGATTTTGTCACTGGTACCCTTAGAAGATTATATAACACTACTTTGCATCAAGAATTTTAATTCTTTCGGGATAATGTAGAAGTTAAATTTGGCATACTATATGTTTTCTACCTTCTTATTTTAATATATTTTTAGAAATTTATTAGTTATTCTGGTATGTGCAATTTTCACATAACACGTAACCAAGAACGTCATTAAGTTGCTTTTTTCAAGCTACCTTTGTTTTTTGTTATTCTCTTGAGATAACATCAGGTCTGTCTGTGAAGCTGCACCTTGTGAATGAATATACACATCAGTGTCCACAATGGTAGTTCAGTTGATGCCTCGAGATTATAACCTCCCTTATTTATGAATGGGAATGACCAGTCATGTGGATACCGTTAGTCACTCTGGGTAAGTCTGACGTTATTGAGTTATCTAAGTAACGTTAAATTTGATAAGTCTGGTAGAAGTTATTATCGAAGGCAAGTTAGAGACAAAATAGCTCAGATTCAGGAAAACACTATTGTCCAACTTCAAAATCGAGTACACGTAGTGCTTTTGTGCTGTAAATAATAAAGATTTTTCATCGTGCCCATTTTCTTGACCTTCTCTTATCGTGCTAAGGAAACTCGGAAAACCTCTGTAACAAACATATTGTTCATATCTCCAATTACTCTATGAGCCCATCTTTCCATTATAAGGAAAATTAGTTTTATCTGAGAATATTAGATAAATTCAAAATAGGTGTTTACTTGAATTATAATCTATATAACCAGTAATATAACTCTCTGATTCTGAAAGTGATATGGGCATAATAATTCACCTGAAAAGAGCCTAAAACCTACCGAAACATTTCTTTAAAAATACTATACCGAGGGTAGAAAATGATCCCCAACTTTTCAAATACATCTATAAATGGCATTGAAATTCATATCCTGGAGACAAGTTCGGTCATACCAAACTTCTGTAAATAATACAGTGATAATGTGTTTTACATTTGGACTGTTGTCACTTATTATCACACATTATTGTGAATCCAGTAACGTGTTTGAACTTTATTCATTTAAATCATCTCATATGACTCTGACATCATCGGTCCTGATATGAGCTTTCATTTAATTCCTAACGTCGCCTACAAAGAGACCTGTAAATAAATTGAGTTTTTCTCTCAGCCATAATGAATTCTAAGAATGTATAAGTGAAATTAAAACAGAATATTTCATAAGATCTTAATCATACTATATCTGCTATAGCCAGTGCTGACGAGACTTTTTAACGCAATACCAGGGCTCATCAGGCCGACTGGTATAGAGCAGGAAGAGTAGATAATATGTTTGAATTTCTTCGCTGGTCCTTGCTTTTCAATGAAAAAGCAAAACTCACAAAAAAGGTTAAACGGTCTGTTATTTATTAGAATATAATGTTTTCATGAATATTTATGTTTCAAAACAAAAATATTTTACAAAAATATTTGCATATACTCACGAGTGACGACCCCCACAACATAACTAGGACCACATATATTTGCATATACTCACGAGTGACGACCCCCACAACATAACTAGGACCACATATATTTGCATATACTCACGAGTGACGACCCCCACAACATAACTAGGACCACATATATTTGCATATACTCGCGAGTGACGACCCCCACAACATAACTAGGACCACATATATTTGCATATACTCACGAGTGACGACCCCCACAACATAACTAGGACCACATTTCCATATTTTCCACCGTGAACGACATAGATTTTTCGTATTCATTGTAATGATAATTCACCACTGACATTAAAAAAGCAAAAATAAGATACATCTACTCGTCAAGTTTTAAGATTTTAGAGCATTTGTAACACTGTTGATATTTTAGAGATATTAGAAACATTGTGGAGTAAAGAACTTTGAAGAATTGATATTTTAACTATTTCGTTTACAGAACTGGAACATAAATAGACGGTGGTTGATTAGAAGGAATGTGGAAAAGAAGATATACGTAGTTCCCTTTCATTTTTATCATTTATTTGAAAGAAGTTTCATTGCACATTATGCTTAAACGATAAGTTTTCTAAAGGCAAAGCCGTGTAGCTGCGTTAGAAAATACTACAATGAACTTCTACAAGTTGGAAATATTAAAACACACTAGAAACTGAAGTAAATCATTATTCAAGTGGAGATTAGACGCAGAAATAACAACACGCTTTTTAATTAGCACGCCAAGTTATTACTGTCGGTGAATCAGGCAGCAGCTGCAGATGGACTCATTTATGATGTTCAGTGCCGGTTGGCCAACTGATCTAACCAATCACTGTTTTCTACAGAGGTGTCATAGTTTCCTTATTCAAGTTAGAGCAAAGTTATTTAATCTAGTAAAGGATTTGATCTGTTAAACTAAAAAAAAAAAGAACACTTTACTACCAAAATAATTCGCCTCTCAATAGTGTTTGGCCATAAAAAATGTGGAGTTTAAGGAGTTGGACAGGCTGTGTTCCTCTGGTACAAAATAGTTTAAGTGTCATCTTCAGGCAAGTATCGTTATTTTACAGTGGAAAGTGAACTTCATTGAGCCTTCCTCGGTCATCTATATCCACAGAACTTGCTAAGCAAAATCTGCAGAGAAAACATTGTTATAGAGTTGGGAGAACTGGATCTTACTCTCTCAAAGCATGGAAACTATTGAACATTTGGGCCCGGCATGGCCAGGTGGTTAGGGCGCTCGACTCGCAATCTGCGGGTTAAAATCCCCGTTACACCAAACATACTCGCCCTTTCAGCTGTGAGGGCGTTATAATCTGACGGTCAATCCCACTATTCGTTGGTAAAAGATGTAGCCCAAGAGTTGGCGGTGGGTGGTAATGACTAGCTGCTTTCCCTCTAGTCTTACACTGCTAAATTAGGGATGGCTAGCGCAGATAGCCCTCGTGTAGCTTTACGCGAAATTAAAAAAACAAATTGAACATTTGACCACGCTAGCTGAGAATTCACATTTCAGGTGTCACCAGATGCTCAACTCTTCATTCTAATTTTTAAGAAAAGAGAGTACCAGAAAGTTTTGTTTGAGAATCAGCTTACCAAATATGTCCCCGACTTGCAGACCGAGTTTTTAAAATATCATAAATGTCAGGTTTCATTTTCAAAAACATTTATGCAGAATAAATTTGTGTCATAAAAGTAAATATTAGAGAAATAAAATGAAAGGTGTCTGTAATTAACTTCTAGCGAGAAACTAGTTTTTTTTATAAGTTTATCAAAGTATTTTAATGTTTTTCACACGAATACATAATTATTTAATTTTAAGCACAACATATCAAACATAATTCTAAACATTCACCACCAGAGCGAGTAAACGGATGTAAAATGTTTATTTTCAATATATTGAAGAGTATATTGGTGTGCATAAATCGTAGTTGTTTGTTGTAAGAGGCACACGGTTGAAAAATCACAGCATGAAAACACTGGGTACATTTTAAATTCGGATTACTATGACTCGTACAAGTATGACATTTTTTGTTGTTGTTTTCTGTTAAAGTTTGAAACGACGGCGTTAACGTTGCCACTACTAGTAGTAACTACTACTAATACTATTATTACTGATGTTAGTACCAACAGTAATACTACTAATATATAGTAATATCAATTAGATTAGGGTAGTCTCACTTACACTTACTCATAGATACATTTTGAAATGTTAATACAGTAACGTAAGATTTCATCCAGAAACCAAGAGCTTCCACGGTCCTAAGGCGAGTCTTGGATCTTGTGGCACATATTCCCTTGCTTCACTTGCTCAAATAAACCTACCCCCCCCCCCCCACCTTTAATTTGCTTCCACCTCTGCAATATTAATAATAATAAGTTGATGAAACTTAACTAAAAGTAAAAACACTATATAAAGTGTTAAAATATGGCAAGTATAAAAGTATAGTTATGTACAAGATAATAATAATTACTTTTAGTTTTACAAGTATAATAAACATATCTATTTCAGTATTTGTATGACATCAGATTTCTTGTACTGGAATATTATAATCCTCAAAATTTACCTCTTCCCCCCCCCCCAACCTAAAAGATTAAGGATACAATGATGAAGGTATCTGTCCATCAGATTTTAGGCATTAGTTTTAATCAGCAGATTTTCAGAAGTTTTTCCCCTTGGAAATAAGAAAAAATTTTATTTGGGGTTAAAAAGTTAGCTCAATTCGAGGTTACCATTTCAAGAAATCCAAATTTGGTTTTAACATGACAACTAGTGTTCAAAACAGCAAATTTTGAGGAAACTCCATAGGTTACTCCCTTTGGCTGGGGAAGAATTATATTGATTTTGGAGTTAAAGGGCAAGGCCACCATTTTAAAAACTCAAAATCTGGATTCTGTACAAAAGAAACAAACACACCAAAATAATCCAATTATCATGTGGATCAACCATTTTAATGATGTCTATTTTTTTTCAAAATTTGGGTAATACATTGACATATTTCAACAAACCCTCTTATAATATTCATTTCTGTAAAAGTCTAAATAAATTTAGAAGATGATTTGGAGGGATTGACAGGATAAAGGACACAAGTTTAAGATTGGAAAGAGATGGGCTAGGCTCCAGTTATGAAAGTTTTATTTCTTTAACAGGGTGATTCAGTTATGGAATAAGTTGCTGTCTGCAATAGTGGAGGCTGATAGCTTACAAAGAATTTATGAGGGGAATAGATTCTATTCTAAAAACTTACAGATGGATTTAAATTTAAATTTTTTTCTTGGGGTGGTGGTGGAGGAATAGCCATGTGCTCCCCTGTTGCCCATAATAGTGTTAACTATGAGTCAACACTTGGTAAAGGGCAAGCAAAATTGTGCTTTTAGTAATGTAAACGCTCAAAACAACAAAAGAATGAACTTGTGTTGAGAAGGTATTTCAGGACTTTCTCACGTTTTACTTAATAAGCAAAGTCTCCAGTAAGTGACCTGGGAGCTGAATCTTTATTATAAATAAACTTGAGCCTTTGATAGTTAGATTAATTTTAAACAGTTTATATTATCATTATAGTATTCTTATTGATGCTTATTCTTTAATACATAAAATTTTAATATTGTCGTATGAATATGTACATCAGTGTGGCTGAAATTTATTTTTTAGTATTACAAATATATATTCTTTGCTTAACAACAAAGAATCAACATTTGATTTTTATGAAAGAGTGAAAAATGAGAAACTTGACCAAACCCATTAGCTACTTATGGAGTAGACTTGGAAAATCATCACAAAAAGAGTTGGCATCAGTCAGGAAAACACTAGTGATTTTAGGGACGGGCTGGGGAAGCTACAGTGTGTTGAAAAGCATAAACAAGCAGCTTTACGATGTAATTGTAGTATCACCTAGGAACCACTTCTTGTTTACTCCTCTTCTTTGTAGTACCACTACAGGAACCCTAGAATTTCGGTAAGTTTCTCTATTATAAGTATCTTGCTTTGGTATTTACCTTGGATTACTATACTTGCTTGTTATGACAAGTTTAAAAAAATGTTCTGACAAAAAGTACTTTTATAGATTCTCTTGTGAATACAAAAAACATAAAACTTCAGACTTTACGGGACTTTATGTTCTGTGAAGAACGTAGACTTAATTATGATCATTTTTTTCTTTTTAATGTTATCTTCAGTTAACTTAAGTTAGTAACATTTTTTTGAATCTAGTTATTTTGTTCTAACACTTCAAAGATCATAAGATTTTCAGAAACCACAATTTTTTTTTATTCTGCTCATTTTCAGTTAGGAAATTAAATGTAGAGTAATATTAAAATCAGTGATTGACTCGGAAATAATTCAATAAATCTGACTTTAGGAATGTGTTTCTTAATAACCACTAATGATGTATTGATTTCACAGTGGAATAAACTATACAAAGTTTTTATAGTTGTGACATTTCATCACATCAAATGAGTTGATACTGGTGGTAAGCTCTTTTATCAGACTGTGAGACGTTGATTTTCAAAGTAACTTTTATTTCTAGTTTCAATATTTAATTTTTAAAACTGGAAGCATCATACAATTCCATCTTTATATCACTGTATTAATACAGTTTCATCACACAACTACATCTTTATATCACTATATTATTACAGTTTCATCACACAACTACATCTTTATATCACTGTATTATTACAGTTTCATCACACAACTCAAGCTTTATATCACTGTATTATTACAGTTTCATCACACACTAGTAAGAATCTTAATTTGAAGATGAACAATAAGATTTCAGATAAAATTGTTGTTGTTTACTTATCCAATATTAGTACAAATTGAAATAAATATATCACACCAACCTCGATAAACCTTCACTGGCATGAATCTTGTTGAAAGTTTGTTTTTAGTATAACGATGAAGATAATCAGTGCTTAAAAATTGAGACACGAACATGCACACAAAAGACGGGTCAAACTGTGTAATAAAACCACTTGTTAAATAAAATTTTTGCATTTATTATGGTAAGGTGAGCAAAAGATTCATGATAGGTAGATTATAATGTAGTAATTCATTTGATCTATAAATGTTTTTCAAAGAAGATTAAATGATCTGTATTTTAGATCAATAATTGAGCCAGTTAGGAACAGTGGGTTTCGACAGACCAACCATTTCCATCAAGCAGAGGCAACGTCTGTTGATTTGAACAAGAAACAGCTTACATGTTCTAGTGTTTTCCATCCTTATCTTACGTATACCCTCAACTACGATAAACTTGTTATTGGAGTTGGAGCTTTAAATAATACATTTAATGTTCGTGGTGTTAACGAACATGCCTTTTTCTTGAAGGTAAGTTCTTCAAGAGCTTTACATTGAATAAGCAATTTGTTGTGTGATTTTATCACCTTTTTTGTTATTTAAAGATTTTACGTTTGTAAAAAAAAAATTACATTTTTATTTTATAACTTTCTCTATATTTTTGTGTTGTCTACTTCCATGGAATTTCTGTTGATATGAGTGGATACTAACTTTTTTATTCTATGTCAGCGTGTAAGATTTATCATCAACGGCCAAGTCGCTTACTAAAAAAACCTAATCTTTTGAGAGATCGTTATTTCCATCTTTAACTTTTGAAGATTCTTGGCTGTATTATACTAATTGTGTAAGTATTTATTGAAACAGTAATTTGGTTTGTATGTTAGGTACAAACATGATTCTACTGTTGTAAAATTGGATTAGGAATTCTTTAAAACATTACTCAACATTCAGTAAAATACAACACAGAGATAGATAATGAATGTGTTATGATGTTATTAATTTGTTGCAAATAAAATGTTACTCAACATTCAGTAAAATACAACACAGAGATAGATAATGAATGTGTTATGATGTTATTAATTTGTTGCAAATAAAATGTGAAACGTATCAATATTATAAAAATGTTGCACATTAATTTCCTTATTTATAATACTTATTAATATTTTCTTGGTTGGTCATTTTTTATTTTGGGTTTGTGTGTGTGTGTGTGTCTTTTATAATGAGCATTTGTCACAAGATTCTTTTTTTTTTTTCTGTACCAAAGAGACGAAAAATAGGTTTTGTTGTTAGGTTTAAACTGTTAGTAATAGAAATCTAGAGTAGAATATCAAAAACTTTGAAAATCAATTATAGCATACCATATTAATGCACTTTTTTTACATTCAGGAATTGAGCCATGCACGACAGATACGTAACAGAATTCTGAGTAACTTTGAACTGGCTGTACAACCTGAGATCGACGAGGAAGAGCAAAAGAGACTTTTACATACAGTGATAGTTGGTGGTGGCCCTACTGGTGTAGAGTTTGGAGCAGAATTGTACGACTTCTTCGTTCAGGTGTGACATTGATATGTGATATTGTATTAATTAGGGTTACTTAAGTTCATGTACAATAATGTCTATTTTTAACAATATTTTGTAATATCTCTTATTTATTTTTGTGCATATGAAAGGATTTTTTATTCTGTGTCTCCTAGCCTTTTAAAGTATAGTCTGTTACAGTTATTACTGTATTTCTATGAAGATCTTAAGTATAACCTATTAGCTCGTACTATGCTCTCAAAACATTTTTGTGGCAGTCTTCTTGACATTTTTACATTTACCTCAAACTTTTGACTCGTGTTCTTCAAATTTTATAATGTAGCTATCAATTTGAAAGTTTATATTCAAAAGGTCGTGAACAATAAGAAATAAAGGTTGAGAAATAAGAAAAAAAGGTTTAATTCAGTTAAAAATTATAAAACATAGAATTGAAAAAAATAGTTCGAATTTTCAAGCATTAATTTTGAATAAAATGCATCTTTTATTTCATCATTAGCTGAATTCTCCCTTACTTATGAAACTTGTACTTCTTGTTAACGTTGCAATGAAGAAAACAATTTAACATCCATTATTACACCTCCAGGTGCTGTGTAATTTCATACATTCATCACTTGTATGTGTTTCTCGTATGTTTCTGCTAGGTGTAGTATCGAAAAAGTTAATATGTGAACAAAACTGCTACACGTAACAAAAGATATCCGTAACATAAAACTTGCTAAACTCAATAACCTGATGAACAAATAATAATAAGTAAAATTAAACATCATTAAATTAATCTGGCAGAGAAATTATGTACGTGATAAAGTAAACAGAATGAACAAAAGTAAACGTAAATAGAAAATAAAAACGTAAATGTTAATGTAATAGAAAAAGTAATTAATAAATATTAACATGAACTGAATGTTAACTGCTTTTTTTATGAGATTTGATGTTTTAAACAAAATGACTTAAAGCTTAAGCATGGTTATTTTAGTGTTACCTCTCATTATTGAATGTGCACAAGGTTGATCCAGTTGGAGAATTAATATTGGCTATAATTTAGAAAGCGTATCTTCACGAAATGTGGCAAGCTCTTAGTAAACGGTACAAGTCTGTTGTACACAAAATATAGAGTTTTTGTACTAAAGATATGTCTATGAAATGCTAATATCAGTCTCACAAGTTGGAGTGTAAGATCATATGAGAAATAAAAATACTTTTGTTTATTGTAGAGTTTGCATAACCTCTAGAACCTTCTAAGTGCGTATCTGAAGTGTTGTTTTATTTTTCAGTACAATATCCGTGTACACTGTTTCTGGAATTTTCTCTAACACAAACTGTTGCAAAATCAACAGTGTAGGGTAAAATGAAATGTTGATAACTCTGGCATCAGATGCATAATATCACATTGAAAAACACTTTGTACAATATCGTGGCCTGCAAACTTTGATCTCCACCCATACCACAGGGTTAAAAGAACAAATTCATGACATTTAAAATTATCTATAATTGTAAAATTAAATCTTTAACATTCCTGGAGTCTTCTACACATATAGAAGTTAGAAATATGAAGGTAAGTTTCCTAAGAATATTGTTTGAGAATTACAATGAAAATCTACAGTTATTTTCTGTTATCCCCTTACATCGAGAATCATAATCTTTGTTCTAAACTCTGGTAATCAATCTTGTACTTCCATTTGTAATAACGGGATACAGCTCGTGTAAAATTAAATAATTATATAGTGAAGGAAGAAACTGTATTTCGAACATCTACATTGAGGATTCTTGTTATTTGCAGGATGTATCTCGACTATACAGAAAATGTGAAAAGCTCGTCCAGGTGACGCTTATTGAATCTAACAAGATATTAAGTTCTTTTGATAAACGACTTCAAAGTTATGCAGAAAAGAAGATTAAAGAAAGGGATAGGTTTAATTTAGTGCAGTCATCTGTGACAGGTGAGTCTTCTTGGGCTGTCTTTTGCATTGCTGAGATAAATTTTTTTAAAGATTTTATGTGGGAAAAAAAACTTGTTTTATTTCATAAATGCAATTTGTGGAAATTCGTTCCTTTTAGATGTTTTATGTAATACACATTTTAAAAAAAAAGATACTTCTTAAAATAAATTCTTTAAAGAACCACAAGGTTTTGTTAACATTATAGTCTTTTTTTAAATCAATAAATCAATGCAGATTATTTTCTCAGTCATACTTCAAAATAACAGCATAATTTAAAATATTGAAAACCTTAAATTCCAAAACTCACATCCCCTCACACTGTTTTTTTTTCTCTGCCCATCTAAGCATTGGCATGAATCTTACCTCGTTTGTTTCATCCTTTATACCCCACTATATTGCCCATAGCAAGTTAAATCTTGTGATTCTCTCCACCTCTGTCCCTATCCCAGATTCACATATAAGCTCCTCATTATTACATCCTATTCACTTTTTTTTTTATTTTCTTGTCAGCCGAACATTATGACAATGGTTATATTTGCTTGCAGCAGGTTTCTCTTCACTGTTTAATATCTGTCGTTATACCTACGCTTTTGGCAATTTCTCTTTTTGTTTTTTTT